ATATATATAAATGTAAATTCGAAATGTAATACGTGTATATATATATATATATATATGTATATATATATATACACGTATATACATTTCGAATTTACATTGCATATTATAATTCAATGAAATCGGAGCATTAATAAAATTTTGCAAGAGTAATTTATGCGGCTATAATTGCCGTTTTATATCACTGTTTCATTTTCTAACATATGCGCGTTGTATATTTCAGTTATTTATATACGACGCCATTGGAAATATCAACCTAGGCGCCAATATAGTATTACTATTAATAGGGGGACTATTAGTAAACGGTCCCTACGCATTGATAACGACCGCCGTGTCGGCCGAACTGGGAACTCATTCTAGCTTAGGAGAAAATTCGAAGGCCTTAGCTACAGTGACTGCCATTATCGATGGAACTGGTAGTATCGGGGCCGCGATTGGCCCGTTGTTGGCAGGTGTAGTGTCTCGATGGGGTGGATGGCACAATGTGTTTTACATGCTCATGTGTGCGGATTTATTTGCTCTACTGGTGAGTCTTCGCTTTCCTTGTCTCGTTGATGCGGAAACAAAATCATATTATGATTAACGAGTCCATATTGTTGTTTCGCTGTTTCAGCTTCTTTCCAGATTAGTTTACAAAGATATAAGATCGTATATACAAAGACGAAGGGTTATTCACATTTAGAAGATTTTGCATAGCAAAATTCGCAAATTGTTGCGTATAGATGCGGAAGTATGTGATTTTTTGTGTTCAGATCTGCGTATTTATAATTTCGCTCGTGTCTCCTTAAAAAGTGTGGCATTTCCGAACGAATTCACGATCAATGTACGAGGGATTTGAATGTAACGGAAATAGTATATTTTGAAGAGTATTTTTTATCATAACTGCTACACGCATTTAAACTCAAAATAATTTTAAACGGAGAGAAAATAATAGCGTTGCTATTTTAAATATTTTTCGAGATCGATACTTTTTAATCGTGTATGTATACAACATGTAAAAAAATGTTATTTTTTTATTATGCTAAATATCAGATGTTACCATGTGAACTTACAATTATATCATGACATAAATATATTACAAAGTTTAATATACAATTATTGAATGTACATGTTTCTGCAAAAAATTATTGCGTATCATTATGAAGTATCAAGGAATGCCAGTGGGAATTATGTAGCTAATAGCATCGGCGAATTCACCCCACGCGGCTCTTTGGGTCTGAAAGATGATTATCCAAGCCAGCAGAGCGGCTGTCCAAAGGATCGCTCCGATGGCGGAGAAAATCACGTCTGAAGGAAACACGAATTGCGTAACATTAGAGAGGAAAATCTAGAATTTGTTGTAAGGATTAAATTGATCGATACCAACATCTCTTGATCTGCTTCTGTTCTTCATAAGGTGGTGCTACAAAAGCCTCTTTTGAGAACCAAACTGCGTTTACGGCCCACAGGAATGGCAGTAGCGCAAAACCAGCTGTAACAAAGCGAAGTTGAAGAAAATATTATTGACAAGTTGATGTAAAATGTAACTTTCGGCTCTACGTATTTTTCGTTCGCTGTATTTAAAATATATATGTACCTATCTATGTCTTGAAAGAAAAGCGAGAAGAGAGACAAGTAAAAAAGCAAGAACATGACTGAAGAGGTTAACGATATAAACATTAAAATCTCCAACGGCACGAATTAAATATACAGGGTAGTTCATTTATAATGAAAAATATAGAAGACAAGGAAAATTATTTTAGACAAAAGTTGTATGGTCTAAAAAAGGATAAATATTGGTAAAATTAATTTAAAAAAATCAATTTTTCAATGGAATTATATATATATTTTTACGTAATATGATTCCTCTAATTATTCTGCCTATAAACGTATCAAGTAAAAGCTATATCGAGTAATCAATATTTTATGAGATATTTTATACTTTATCATGACGTAAGCTATGAAATATCTTATTTTAACTATTGATTTCTTGATAATAGTACCTTAATATCTTTAAAAAGACAAAATAATGAGATGAATCGATTGGTGTACAGAAAGTTATTTAAAAAAAATGTAGTTGCATGTTGCATATTTCTTTTAAAAGCAACTGTGTTTTCTTTACATCAATTCAAATTAATTCATGTTATTATTCTGTGCTTAAAGCATTAAGGTATCATCAAGAAATCAATAGTTTATGAAATATTTCATATTTGATGTCAAAATATGGCATTATAAAGTATAAAATATCTCGTAAAATATTGATTATTCGATAGCTTTGCTTTAATTAGCCTCTATATACAGAATAATTAGACGAATCACATTAGGTAATTCTATCTAAAAAAAAAGCAAATGCCCTTCATAGGACTTTGAAAAATAGTTTCCGCAAAATTAATTTTACTGATTTTCAATATTTGTCCCTCTTTTGACCGTACAATTTTTGTCTGAAACAATTTTTCGTGTCTTCTATATTTTTCACTTTAAATGAACAACCCTGTATATTGTCGCAAATCTAAGGTTACACTTGAAATTTGATCCAAATCCTAGTCCACGATCGATTTTTAACACATTTGCGAAGAACGGAACATTTATATAGACGTCTGTCAATCAATGCACGTGTCGAGACACGTGTGTTTGTATCATTCGATGTCAATCATTGCGTCGATTATCAGTGTTAGAGCCGAGCAAAGTAATTATTTCGTCGCAACGTACCGCGAAAGTACCATTTGCAGAGATGTAATTTCTTTTCGTTCGACACTTTTGACAGGTCCATCGTGGCGATGACAGCAAACGGATCCTAACCTCGTCTTCCCTCGCGGTGTCGCTCGGTCAAGCGATCCGAATAATCTCACATCGAGTCACGGACAGTCGATCGGCGGAACCAATCCCCGAATTGGCACCCGGGCCGCGAGCGACAAACGCGAGTAAAAATAAGAAGAAAAACGAGGGAGAGACGAACGATCCCGGAGAGCGTCTCCTCGTCGCGCTCCCAAGATGGCGCCGCGGCGGCACGCGCGCGCCCCCTGGCGGCAGGTGACGTCACGCGGGTGGTCACGTGGCCGCGGGACGCTCGAGTCCCCGCCGCCGAGGCTCCGCTGTCGCCAGGCCAGCCATTTTGGTACGTTAACATGGCGTCGCCGCCGGAGATTAATATGGCGTCCTCGGACATAATAACCGAAGTGGAGATTCAACCGGACATTCAGGAGGTCGAGATAGAGACGATACCGGTGGAGATACCGTGCGAGACCGTGGAGACGACGATCGAGGGCGAGGACGGGCAGCCGATGATAGCGCTGCAGCCGCTGCCGGAGCCGGGCCGCGAGGAAATCATACTGCAGACGCAGGAGGAGATCGTCGGCGCGGACCCGCTCAGCGTGTACGACCAGATCCCGGTGCCGGACAACGACATTTATGTCGAGTCCAGCCCCGGGCCGTCGCGCAAAGCCGCAAAGAAGGCGCGCAAGAGCGGCGGCACGCGCTTCCGCGCGTCCGACCACGCGATCTTCGGCGAGATGGCCACCGAGACCAAGGCCAGGAAGTGGGAGCAGAAGCAGGTGCAGATCAAGACGCTCGAGGGCGAGTTCTCGGTAACGATGTGGGCGTCCGGCACGGACGACGGTGAGTGTTGCGGTCCGCGTTTACGCATCGGGATCTTTCCAGATCTCCCGCGGGCTTCGGTTCTCTCTCTCTTTCAGCATCATTTCTTTTTCCTCTCCCCCCCCTTTGTTTTTCTTTTCTCATTTTATCTCTTATCGTCGCTCTCTCGCCCTTCGCCGAGCCCTCGTCCAAAGGACGGGTCCTTTCTTTCTCTCCCTTCGTCTCCTCTCTCTTTCTCGTACGTTTCTCTCCCTCGTTCCTCCTGGCCCCTTCGTTATCCACCACGCACCACGGGCGGGTACGCACTTCCGGTGCGATGCTCAGATCGATACTGCGTCGTTGCACGGGCGCGCGATCGCCGCGCGGTGAAAATCGGCGACCTGGGCCGGCCGCGTCGCCCGCACGGGCCAGCCGGCTTGACAGGCCGCGTTGTTTGTTTTGATCGCGCGAACGCCATTGTGCTTGGCCCCCACGGGGGCAGCCATATTTTGAAAATGGCCTCTTTTACGCGGCGCGGATCGCCCGCCCGTCCGCCGTCGAGCAAATGGCGGCGGACCGGAGCCGAGCCGAGCGACGTCGCGGAGCATCGCGGCACTCCGGTTGTCATCCGTCGACGCCGACGATTCATTCGATTTTTTTTGCGTCTCTTTTCGAGATGGAGGATAGATAGAGCGATAGGGCGAGCTCGGCTAGTCCTAGCTACTTTTTATCAGGGAGAGAAAAATAAAGAGTCACGAATTTCGAGAGCCCGAGGCGCACAAAAGAAGTCCGGGCGATGCGCCGCGCGCGCCGAAGCAACGCTTCGACCTCTCTGACGTCACGACAGATCCATGCTGCACCGCGAGCGTATGTACCGGGTGTCTTGAATATCCAGATCGATGGCGATACGAGCGAGCGATCCGCGATGACCGCGACCGATATTTTGCGATTTGATTCGCGTATCTCTCGTTTATTACGTATTTTATTGTACATTTAAAGGCATCGTGTTGCGTAAAGATATTTCGAAACGAGCTCCGACACTGTTCTGTAGTTTCCTCGGGAGAAACTTTGTTGTTACTAAGATCGCGATATAACGGGTATCCTGTTTTTTTTTCAGCATGCATTCCCTTACCTTTATTTTGTTTGTGAATAGTAAAATGCGCTTTTTTTTAAGCTTGAGTAAAAATAATGTTAAAGTATACTTTAGTGTACTTTAACATTATTTTTACTCAATTTCTCATAAAATTGTTTATTATAACAAATTAAATTGAGGCCCAGATGAAATTGGGAGACTTAATATAATTATAGTCGAACCTCGATAACTCGAATCTTAAAGGACCAGCTCTAAAAATCTTCAAGTTATAAAAGTTTTGCCTTATCGAAGTTCGAGTAAAAGAGAGTTAACATATAAAAATTACGAAAACTTTGTACGAGAGTTTATAATTTATAATGGATTTTAAAATAATAAATTCGAAGTTTTTTGAGTCGGTTTTCGAGTTATCGAGGTTCGATTGTACTTATAACTTTTCATAAGCGAGGCAATTAAAACTGTTATTTGTACAAGAAATACAAATATCAAGTTTCTTGAATTTATATATGATATATTAAAATATATCTCATTTTAAATTCAAGAAATTTGATACTTGCATTTCTTGTGCAAATGACAGTTTTAATTGCCTCGCTTATGGAAAGTTATAATTATATTAAGACTCCCAGCCTCATCTTGGTCTTAATTTAATTTGTTATAATAAACAATTTTATGAGAAATTGTTTATTTTGTTGCGGTATACTACTATATAAATTTATTACTATTCGTTATAAATTTTTTCCCTAAATATTTCTTTTAACAATCCTACCAATTTTATTGTTTCCTCTTGTCAGACATAATTTCACAAATGTATGTAAGATATGTAGAATTTACACATATATCTATACATATATCATGAACTATATGATATATTATCAGTACATGTATATATCATATAGTTAATAAAAGTAGTAAGAAATCGAAAAATTACCGTATAGCTTTTTTGGGACCGCTCTCCGTTTGTTGCTGTTAAAGGTAACATCCTATTAGCGCCTGACCTGGATGTGGATGTTCCAGATGAGGGTTCGAATCCAGAACCGGATCCCGACTACACGGAATACATGACGGGCAAGTCCAATGCCAAGTTCAATTCGAACAGCTCAGTGTCCGACGGTATGCCCGGATTGGATCTGTCGGATCCGAAGCAGCTCGCCGAGTTCGCGCGACCCGGTCACAAGCTGAAGGTGCGCAAGCCGCCGGTGGTGGACGGCGTCGAGCGAACCATCGCATGTCCTCACAAGGGATGCACGAAGATGTTTCGAGATAACAGTGCGATGCGCAAGCATTTGCATACGCACGGGCCGCGGGTGCACGTGTGCGCGGAATGCGGCAAGGCATTTGTCGAGAGCTCCAAGCTCAAACGGCACCAGTTGGTGCACACCGGCGAGAAGCCGTTTCAATGTACGTTCGAGGGATGCGGCAAGAGGTTTAGTCTCGACTTCAATCTCCGTACCCACGTGAGAATCCACACTGGCGACCGGCCGTACGTATGTCCGTTCGACGGATGCAGTAAAAAGTTCGCGCAATCAACGAACCTCAAGTCGCATATACTGACTCACGCGAAGGCCAAGTAAGTTTCGCTTCTTTGTTGCATTTTTAAAATTCAGATAACATGAAAGACGAGCGCGAAAATATTTTAGAAGCTATCACGTCAAAGAATAATACGAAAAGAACAGTAAGACGCGAGATAATAATTATGTCCGTCAAATGATGCTAATTGATTTTTTTTAATATTAAAAAGATCAGCTGCTTAAATGCAGATTGTAAATGCGCAATTTAGAAAATCAAATACAAGTGTTACATAAAAAAATAAAGGAGGGAAAATTTAATTATTTGACGAGATCTCGTTTTTTTCGTGATTTCAGATCCCGGAACGCGATTGGGAGACAAGTACAACAAATCCAACTTCAACAGCCTCAATTTGTCCAGGTTGAAGTTGCAGATGTGGACAATCAACAGTTCATTGTCTACGCCGATTAGCCCCCCTAAAACAATGATCTCTTATAATCTCCCGCTGAACACTACTACTGAAGTATCGTAACCATTAATTATTAATCTAAACAATGTAAATATTTTTACGGCGCGTTTACAAGTGATGTCATTACACATGACACCGGGCAGTCAACCTAGCTGTCTTAAGAGAATTAAAGGAAGAATAATACCTCTGTGCTTAGATATGAATTACTTGGAGAAATGGAGCACTATATTACCGTAAAAAAAAAAACACGAAAGGGCAAATAAAGTTAAGAATTAAAGGAAAAAAAAACAGAAAAAAAGATAATGTTGTTTAAGATAAACAAAAGCTAGACTGTGTCGCGTACTGCTCAATTTCTTGGTCTATCAAGAGAAATCGAGTGCGCTCGTATTACACACATATGTATACATAACACACATACACATACACACGAGACTGTATATATATAAATATATTATATCATATACATATAAGTACAACTAAAATATTGTATACAGTATATTTTGGAGAAATTCAGATGGGAATAAACCACGAAGATGCATCTTTTTCCGTCGGACTCAATTGTACCATCTTGGTAATATACGAATTTTACATTGTATAATGCTGAGACTATTGTTGATAGTTAATGATGAGGGAGAGATAGGAAAAAGAAAAGAGAGATAAGAGTTACGCGTGTGTAACGTAGAAATCCGTGATTATCATGCAATCTTTATCGTACACGTATGGTTCGGTATTGTTTTTCATTTTACATCGGCGGGACACATAATCGGAAAAGGGATATTTGTGACGGGACATTTATTCTCGACAGACACGGAAAGAAAATAGAAGTAACATACGCGAACGGAGGAAATTGTACAAAAAAAAAAGTTATATATCGAAACACTGTTACTGCAATCCCGATGTGATATTTTGCGAGGAAACGTTTGCGACGTCTGCACGCGTATCGAAACGACTTGGAAACGGCTTCGGCGGTACTTGAGAAATTTCGAATAAGAAGCAATATAATTATGGATAGATTTAATATCGAATTTAGAATAAAATGATTACTGCGTACATCTCCCCATTACGTCACCCGATCATAATTATTCGCATATCATAATTTTATACGCGCGATGTTAACAGACATACTTACGAATATAAGTACACATGTGCACCAGCCTGCATTAAATTAGGCGAACTTTGGAGAATTTGTTTAAATCCTGTAAAGTATATATTCTTTCATAAAAGATTTTACTTTGCAGCTGTACATATAATTCTTGTGGCTGTACCCATCTGTTGGTAGTGTTTTCTTGTAGAACTCAACATTTTTATAAAAAAAAAAAGAAGAAAAATGGAGAAAGGTTGATTTTTTTAAATATTTAGCGTTTAGACGATGGTTTAACCCCTCTCTTTTTTATCAATAAACTGTCACTTCTATTAATTTGCTCCTTTCGATAATTGTCAGTATATTTCATAGGCTTCTTCTTTGTATGATAGATACAATCTAGAATTACTTTTCAATCGTACGGTCTACATTTTATTTAACGTAACGGACATTTGTGAGAAAATGAAAATATAATAATTGCTTCAAAATGCAATTTAAATCTGGCTAAAAAATTAAAGTAACTATCTGATAAAGAGAAGCATAATCTGTTTTTTTTTTTGAAAGGAAGTAATTCAGTAACGATGTGTGTCCACGATTATATCGATGTGCTCTTTGCAAAAGATATGAGATATCTTCGGAAAGCATACGTAGATTTTTTGTTGTATTCATAAATTTATGCACCAACCTGTGCATTGTTTTTTCACGATATATGTTTAAGTTCGATAATTTATATATGAGAAAATATAACATGAAATAAAAAATATATATATTTCTATGCTTATATTTTATTTGTGTCTGTCATTTTTCATTGCGCGAAAAAGACAATCCTTCGATTACTTCGGCTCGCTAAATTATTATAATAATTGTAATAAAACTCATGACATAGCGTTGAAGAGCACTAATTCTATTGGTTACACGTATAAATATATATGCCATCCGTGCTTCGTGGACAAAAAGATATTTTTTTTTGTTCACGAAGCACGCAAGAGGATAGTACTTGTTCTTCGTGTCGACTCTGCCCGTTAAATCCATGTCAGATCGGTTGGAATGAATATCCGTATAAACATAATTCTCTACACAATTAGTATCTTCCAGATCGGCCGTCCCTACCTTTGTCGTCCCTTTTCCGGCGGTCTTTGGATCTCGATCGTCTATCACGTGATCGCGATCGGCGCTTGCGATCACGGCCGCGTGAACGCGAACGCGATCTGGATCGTCCCCTACCGCTCTTCTTGCGACTGTACAGGTAGCGACGCAGCTCACGCGAGATGGGTTTCAGGTGCATAAAATTGCAAAATCCAGAACGCGTGCATTCCCTGAAAACGAAAAGGAAATATACGAGACGATATAGGATTACTGATTTGATTCGTCACTAGACGTTTGCGTGGATGAGTAGATGCTATGTTAGATTACCCCATTTCGTATTGACGACAGCAGGCCTCTCTGAAATCTGTCACTGGCGAAAGTTCAGCATACACTGGTCTTCCGCCAAACCAGCGATTGTTCAAGTCATTCACAGCTCTTTCCGCGTCTTCCTCTCTGCGAAATTTGATGTAGACATTGCCCACCAAGTGATCGCCGAGATTGTCGCACACATTCATCTCCTCGATCTCGCCATACTTGTCCTCGCACTCGACAAAGACGTCCTCAAAGAAGTTATCATAATGCTCTTGCATTTCCTCGTCCGATACGTTTGCGACCACTGAAACAAGAGTAAATAACATATTTCATTATTAATAATTTAAAAAAATTTTAAATATCAAACGTGCAAACTGATAAAACAAGTTATAACTGGAATCATAATATACTTACAGTGAGAGCCATCTGCACTTTTGGCAGAATTCTGAGGATTCACATACAAGTTTTGAAGCAAGCATGTCTGAAAAAGAATATTCGTAGTTAATTTGTTTGAATACATTGAATATTTAAAAGATACATATAGCGTCGTAAGAGTGAATGAACTCATGGTTCAAGATTTTATCTCAACTGTTATTTTTATAATTTTACATGCCTCGGTTTTACAAGAAATTGATGAGAGAGTTAAAGATTGTCAGTGAGAATGTATATCAATCATATATATCAATCATATATCAATAAGTGTTATATTAAATATTTAAGATATTCTTGATAACAGTCACAGTTGAATAAAAGTTAAAGTCATCATTTAATCTTTGACTATATAAGTATGGATTGATAGTAATTAACTTCATACGTGTCGCCAAGCTGGAAGATGTAAACTTCACCCCAGTCAGTAATTTTCTGCGGGGAGGGGGAAGACTTCTGTGAAATCAGCAGTTTATGACATGTAAAAGAAAGGTGCTGAGTCTGTTTTTATTTCTTTCCATCGATTTGAGATCTTTTCCAGCTCCCTATCAATTTTCAACATAACATTTAATACATTTTGACATATTTGACATTTTTTTACTGACTGGGGTGGAATCTAACAATCAAAGTTCGATACCTCAACCAACTTCAGCTCAGCAACACCGGGATATGTCTTTTACATAGTAAAAGTGGGAGGACTAGCAGTCCATATTTATATAGTCAAAGCATCTAATAGGTAGAAAATAAAATTAATTACAAGTTCGAATTACACTAGATTATATTATATTAATTTAATATCGATTTCAGTTGGTTTACATCAGTGTACCACTGCAGTGCACAGTGTAAAGCTGATGCAAACGGGAGCAGTGTAATTACACCAACTGACTCTGACTAATTTGTGAGAGCCACTTTGTGTACATCCAATATGCACCTGTGCGGCATACCGAGTCTACGACGAATCTACGTTAAGCGGCATCTACAATGAGATTTAGGTGTTCGCTTTGGTGCTTACAACATCATTTCACCCTTGTTGTTTATCAAATGTTAAACAAGGAAAAATGATGCTTATAAGCACTGTAAGCAGGATGCCAGGAAAACCTTTAACAGCCACTGGCTGCAAGTGGAGAGGGTAGGCTGCAGCCAACCACCTAAGCCATCGCGGCTGCCAGCCTACTCCTTTTACTTGCAGCCAGTGGCTGTTAAAGGTTTTCCTGGCATCCCTGACTGTAAGCGCCAAACCGAACGCATCCTCAAAATTTAAGAAAATTGATCAATCATAGTCGTTTATTCATTTCACACGAGGAGAAATATATATACATATAATTAATATGTATACAATTTTTTTAGTAGTTAAATACTTGACCAAGACTGCCGTGTCTCTTGATAATCGATTGTAATTGGTCAATTTTCTTA